AGATAGCTTACTTATATAATACGTTAGTAAGAAATAAATCTTCTTTAGTATAAGATTTCTATATGTTATATTATTAAGATATTATGCCTTATTACTATATAGACATTTTAGTAAGATTTACTAGTTAGTTAGATAGTCTATTTAGTTATAAAACACGTTATCTATTTACTAGCCTACTAAATAGCTTTTCTATCTATTGTTCTTTAAGAGGCTCTCTAAGATCTGTTTAGCGCTTCCCTGCATATATTCTCGCAAAATTTAACGTTATTCGTTCTAAATGCAGACGTCAATTCAGCTCTATTCTGGCTATTATGTTACGAGAAGTACTCTAGACTATTCTAGCCCTCGCTTAAGAGTGTGAAGATCTCGTTTAATCCTGTAGTACCTTTAGGTAACTAGTAGTTTATGAGCACGCCTAATTAGGAAGATAATGAGTAATTTTGCGAGCATTATAATCGAAACATAATAGATCTATCTCTTACGAGGTTTGCAAAGGCGACGCAGCAGATGCTTATCCTTGAAAATTTGATGCTCGAGTGCGAAATCAGCTATGACGTCAACTTTTGCGCATTATTGTATTATGCGCCTAGCGTGAAAGCAGACTGGAGTGAGGACTAGGGCGAGGAGGATACCTAGGATTTTCGGCGAATATATTACACAGTTAGGGAAGTATAGAGGCGGGATCTGTTTGCTTAGAAATGTTGCGCAGCATTAGGCAAGAGAAGCATAGATCCGACATGATTAAAAGATTCCTCGGGCCTAGGAGTTAGAGGTCAAATTCGGTTTGGAGTAGCTTGTGAGATTAGGTACTCCTTATCTCTACCTAGGCACCTATGATAGGCCTGGAGCCGACGGTATTCGTCTGCCACTGCGCACCTAGCTCTGATAACCACCTATGTGTACGTAACTCTATCCTCTACTACAAAGATAAACTATGACATGTTCGTCGGAAGCACAGTGAAGGCATGAACTATATCGTCGAATACTTAGTAATCTGAAATGGAGACGCAACGGACATGAAGTGACCTTAAGCGGCTGCAGTACGCTTCCACAGCTTCTCTGTGGGTTGATTAACTAAGATGAGTATCATTGCGCTCTCAAGAGTGCATTCAGCTTATCTATAAGGTCTACGTTGGTTTCTGGTAGGAAGATATTGATTCAACGTGCGATCAGCTGTTTGTGTCGACTCGAATCTTGAATACCTCGACACATAGACTGAGCTACCAAGTCTAAGACTATTTAAACACAATCAACCACTCCATACTTTTGGTCCAGGGCAGGTGTACGTAGTAATAGCACTGTTGTAGGTATCGATTGTGACCCCAGGGTCGCTCTGCGATGCATAGCCAGGGATAGTCGCAAGATATTCACTGCCAGGCTGTGCCGTGCCACTGCCTGTGACCTCAATCTGAGTGCTATCAGTATCGTAATTAAAGAAAAGCGCAGGTCATTTGTACCTGAGCGCACTCGGCGTAGAACTGGGGCGTCTTTGCCTGGTGAAGAGCAAGAAGCTCATGGCGCACGAGGTAATTGCCCGCAGCAAGCGTCTTGGGGATCGTAGACTCCCAGTATAGGTTCTTCAGTACCTTTGCCGTACCCTAGTGTCGTCAGCATATACTTGACAGTATTTAAAGATTGTGCATACCCAGTTGCGACCACTGAGAGGTGGTGCAGTCATGCCCTCCTGGTCCACCTAAAAGAGGACGAGTTAGTTATCTCTTGTCGAAACTACTGCACCGATTTGTGATGTACCTTAAACCATTTCTTTCCACTGCCGTCACAGCTCTTGAAATCTCCTGCACACTTGTACAGCCAAACCATGACAGGTCCTTGTTCATGTGTCCATTGTGCCCAGATCGCCTTGATCTTGCCACCAGCAGCCACCTTAGCAACAAGATCCGCAGATGTGCCACCATTACACATCACTTTCCTGTCGGTGATGGTCATGGTGGGGTTGTAATCTGGCCACTGACGTTGGATTGTCTTAGGAGAGGATGCTGGGGAGAAGCCGGTGTATCTTCGAGGCTCAAGTTAGATCTCAAGAGGCTTTGCATATTGACTCCCGTGAATTGAAACAGTGTAGAACTTACCCAGGGTAGGTCACACCGTCAATAACATAGCTAGTAACGGCTCCGTGAGCAGTAACTTGAGCGGCAAGAAGGGCGGCGGCGGTAAAGACGCCTGAAAACAACATCTTGAATGAGTTCCGGTAATGTAGACAGGATTGGAAAATCAGTTCCATTCACCGAAGGAAATATCGTGTTCTTATACGAGGAAGCCCCGGTAGACCATTGGCATATGCATGTTGTGTCGATTCAATATCGCTTGCATTGTGCAACGCGCCAGGTTTGACCACTACCACCACTGTCCCCACCAGCACGAGGAAGACACTGCTTTTGATAATCTTACATTGATGGTAAAGTGATCATCTGTTACTTCGCAATATACATATGCGCTGTGCCCGGACCGGCTGGCGCTCATTGGGCACAGGCCAATCTATTCGACTCGCTAGCAGCGAGCCTCCATGTCGGCTGTTGCAGTACCGGACCATAAGTAGAAATGGTGGTTATCTCGTGCAGTGCCCCAGACTTGCAATATATTACTGCCACCAGGCATGCGAGATGACGATTTCATATTCTTGAGTCGTTTCTTCGGGCGCATCGCCCAGGGCTGAGGGATTTGTTGAAACGGCCCACTAAAGTGAATGATTGAGGATAATAGATTGTTGGGAAGATGTATCCATCAAGGTGAGATATTGCTGCGAGATGTTCTCGTGTATGTCATGGTAGAAAAGACCACTATCCCCTGGGTTACCTGCGAATATTTTAAAACCCCTTCGAGTGTGTGACATTGGTCTTTGGCTCGCGATTATCTTTGCCATCGCCTTCATGCATGATCTCTTCGTCGTAACGATCATTGTCGCTGTCATGATAGGCAACGGATATGTCCGTGATCTCGTCGCCAACCTCCATCCAAGTGTCGCTTGTTGCTGGTACGGGAGATATTCTACAGAGAGCCCAATAAGAGAGTGACGACACGAGAAAACCCGCAAAGAAGTTGAGGTCGTAGATGCGCTTTGCACCAAGTGGTACCTCTTTACCAATAGCTCCCACGAAGCCGACAATGTTGATGAGAACGCCGGCAATGTACGCCGCGTACCCGCGCCAATTGAATCCCAGTGTGAAGTAGTAAGGTCCCGTCTTCTTGCCCGAGTACAGATCCTTGATCTGGAGGTAGCCTTTCCGCACCCAATAGTAGTCGCAGATCATGACACCAGCTATTGAAGACAGGAACACGGAGTACGCCGAAAGGTAGGTGGTGAAGCTATTGGTGTCCTTCAACAGTTGCCATGGGCACATTACCAGCCCGATGAGCGCGCAGATGTAGCCACCACGTCGAATACTTATCCAACGTGGAAGAAGGGCTGTCATGTCTGTGCCGGCAGAAATCGAATTTGCGGCAATGTTGGTGCCTAGTTGCGCGAGGGTAAAGGCCGATGCAATAACAAACACGCCAAAGCGTTGCGCATGGCCGGCATCTTCCTTTAGAAAGCTCTCTAATAGATCCAACGGGTTCCATATCGCTTCGCCAAATATGACGGTAGATGACGACGACACAATGATACCAATGAAGGAAGTGATTGCGAAGCCTACGGGGATCGTGAGCAATTGCGGCAAGAACGCATCCGAGGGTTTGCGTGCAAAACGTGCAAAATCCGGATCGTTGACAATGAGTGTCGCAAAGTTGGCAATAGCACTCATGATTCCTCGGACCATTAGCCATCCCAGCTCGGAACCACGCGCCGTTCCAGGCTGGTGTACGATGGGGCCGATTCCCTTGGCTCTTACAATGGCCCAGATGAAAAATGATATGCCCGCTGTAGGTACAACGTATGCCTTGACCGTGAAGAGATGTCGAATCTTGTGAACTGGTGGGTAGAGGAATGGTAGAGATCCGAGCCAGAAAACGAAGAACGAAACAAACTGCACAGTTGTGGTACCCGAGCTAGGGATGCCATTCCTAATGCCACCAGAACCATCACCGACGTCCTGTTCGAGTCAGCTTGGCACCTTGAGGGACGGGTAGATACACACATCGCGCCAGTTGTTCCAGATAGAACGTATCATTAGGTAGACGCAAGTACCTCCAATCCACCCCTGCACGCCGTACCAAATGCAGGCCATTGCTGCACGGTTGAATACGGGCCATAAAGCACCCCAAACTCCAAAGGATGCGCGATTGACGACAGGGAAAGAAATATGGTAGGTGGCACCAATTCGACCTGTCATGCACACGAAGCAAGCTGCGATAGAGTAGCCGAGCTATGTATCTGTCAGCGAACGAGGCGACGGGTAGTGTGCTGAGCATGCGTACCCATACGCAGATCCATGATTGCCACCACGACAGACCATCAACGATGTTGGAAGAAGATATCATCCAAGTGTTGATATTGAACGAGTCGGCTATCCAGAAACCAACAAAGTTCCAAGCACCCCATTGACGCCGCTCAGGTTCCACCTTGTGGACATTAGCACCTCAACTGTAGCAAACAGAGTCGATGTTACCCACAGGTTTGAGGTCATGGTTAAACAGCATAAGCTGTGCTGTAGTAAGATTGGGCTCGCTTTCCACGGCTAGTTTGCTACTCCAATGAGCAACCTTGGAGCGCTTTACTCTCTCCATGATGCTGCTATGGGGATCGTAATTTGAGTAGTGAGAAGAAGAGGTTGCAACAGGCCTTATGAAGCTTTGGCTTCGGCTGCTCGAAGCGGTTGCTTGGGTGGATAGACAATCCTGGTCAAAATGACGTGGGGGGTGGTTCGACGCGGATGAAGGTCTTGGTATGCCTGGCCTTTGCGAGGCTGGGCATTGGATCAGTGGCTCGCGTTCAGGATCCAGAGTGGCGACAGATGCAGTTTAGTGATATATTATCGTGGCCCTCGGTTTCGCAGCTAATGCAGGTATTGTAGGTGGAAATTCGCAATGTTTAAATAGGAGGGATTCTCAAACCGCGCGCTCATCTTTCGGCAGTGCCATATCTATTGCACTCCAAATACATCCGTGATCTACTTCTCACTGATAAGACTACCACACAATGTTCCATAGGTAGATCGTGTGATGTGCCCAGGGCATTCGCGGCCAGGTGGAGCGAAGCCGAACATCCATAGATGATGCACCAGGGTCCTAGCGAAAATCCTTCAGCCACTACAGTTTTTCGACTATCAGCGCATCAGCATCGTGATAGCAAGTCTGATTGTAGATATTACGCCTTGACATTGACTCGATAGAATATTGTCACCTGTGCATGCGGCCGATGACGCGGAGAAACCTCTATCTCACAGTATCAGTGCCATGACTAGTTGCCGCGAGGTTGCATCTCATCGTGCTTGGCATCTCGCTTGGTGCGTGTCTTACATTGTGAAGGGCATGGTTGCCAAGACGGAGGCGATAAAGAGATGTGTGGGGTAGAGCGGTGCGCCGAAGCAGCCAATGAGGACCCAGTCTCGCCAGTTTATTCGATCTCATCGAGTAACAGCCATGGACCCATAAATCGGATTCCTGAAAAGGTTCAGCTCTGAGATTTTCCTGTTTCTTGAACAAGCCGCGAAAGTCTCAAGAGTTTTTTCTAAAGTGGATCATCCATGCCTTCTGAGGCCTTCTCAAGAGCTACCGCGAGTTAGGCCTACTACAGACCACAATGCTTGGAGACTTGTTCAGACTTGCACAGTGCACGCTGATATGTTCGATTCTGCTGCCATTGGTAAGACCGACTGACCTACTTGGCCTCCTACATTATAGTTTACAAACAAGGGTATAATTGTAGACCATGTCAACTTGAGACGACGATCAAAGCAAAAAGACACAAGACCAACGCCAACCTGACCCTTCGCGGGCAACAGGAATTCAAACGCCATTCTCCCTGCAAACACCCAATCTCAGATGATTACTGCATCCATATGCTCTCCGTGTCCGTCCACTGTGTGCTGATGCGCCTGTTCGTGGATGTCCATCATAGCTTTCAATACCAGCTTCCACTTTTGCTCGTTTTGGTCCACGGACAAGCTACGTTGCAGACACCAACGGCAGGCTTCGTCTACTGCCTTGTCCTCTTACTGCAGTATTGCCAGCAGTCCGCATCGTGTGTGGCGGCACACGCATGACTGGCTTTGCTCTAGGAGGAGAGGGGCGATGCTCGGTTTCAGAATCGGATGTAGCTTCTGTTGAAGCAGTATCTTCGGACTCTACCCCGCTCGCCTCTGTCATTGTGTCATCTGTGGCCACCCGCATGGGCGTTATGTCTTCCTGGTGCTGAGACCACAGAATGTGACTCGAATCGTCACGTGTGGGTGTGATTTCCCCAGCATCCAAAGGCGAGGATAGGCTGTGCTGGTTGATAACAGACTCAGATGGGATGAGATCAAGGAGGTTATCTTCGTCTCCGGGTAAAGAAACCTGGATTGCAATGCTAGAGTCGTCCATCAGCACATTGGAAACTCGCATGACTTCAGGTGGTAAGGGCGCGTCTTCTGGAATACGGAGGAGCACTGGGATACATTCCGAGTCCGTTGTTTCTGGAGCATTGGGCGCGTCGATTCGTTCGTAGAAAAGCATAAAGACGTTAGCCTGATGGGCTTGTTCCTCTGGTACGGCGTAAACGGTGTCGTCGCTGAATCGCCACCACTGTTCCTCTGTTGAAGTCTGCTCGTTATCCTCGTCGCTGCATTCCGGCTGCGATGGGTTCTGAGCATGTGGTCGATAACAAACGTAATGTCCATTGCCATGTGACCCGAAATGGGTGACGGCCGCTCGCAATCTATATTGGAATGGAGATGTGACGATCGGTTCATTGATCTGCATAAGCATGGACTGGGTGGGGTCCCGCGGCCACTCTTCTAATGACATGTCAGGCTGTCTAGAGCCGCTCGGTGCACTGCCCAGGCACCAGTTGCCCAAGTCGAGGATTCTCGGATACGAAACGCCCGCTGTATTCTTGTATGAAGCGCCTGTGATCTCGTCGAAGTTACTGCGGTTCACATGTAGTACAAGCGACTTGGGTGCCCGTGCAACTACTATCTGCTTCGACTTGGAGCTCTGCACCCAGTTCTTCTTGGCAATGTTCAAGGTCTTGACCAGAGTGTTGTCTTCAAATTTCTCGTCGTCGATCATGTCCGAGACGGCTTTCAGTTTCGCCTGAAAGGGTGAGCCGGCAGTTGCTAGTGGAGTAAGCGTCTTCTGCAGCTTGAGCAAAGTGCACTTTGCGCACTCGACGCCGTCGATGTACTCAAGTTTAGTATACTCGTCGAGACATTCGCGGATATCGTAGCCATAATTGTTGCCGAGCGAGACAGTGATGCAGTTGAAGTTGATCAGCGAAAG